CAATTCTTTTATTCGTTTTCTGTGTCTACTATGTGGATTGTTCAAATGACTGGTAAGATCAAATATTGTTGGTATTGCATTATCTCGAAGTACTGTCCTATAAGGCCTAGTTCTACAGATCATAGAGGTCTCGAAGCGTTTGGCACATAATCGATAATGTTTATTTAGTTGATCAGGTGTTTTATCTTCCAAGTCAGCTCTCCTACAATTCTCCACCCACTTCTGGCATCTGGCCGGATCCCGGGAACCTGAAGAAGGCCAGGTCGGACCGCGTGCTCTTCCGCGTGCAGTTGGAGGCAGCACAGAAGTTCGGCATTGTCGCCCGCCTGCTGGCCGGCCCAGCCCTCCCCTCCCCTCCTCCTCAGGGCAGCCACCCGCCCGTCCGGGCCGGGGAAGGGACTCTAAATTCTTGATAAATATTCTCCTGCTGTATTCTGCAACTTGATTTTCACTCAATGCTTGAGTTCAGTACTTGATGATATTTATGGGGTCTATATATCATTTTAACAGAATATTCCAACATGTACTATCTTTCTCCTCATTTATGGAAATGTAGGTGGCTTCCAAGTTTTTCTTTTTTCTTGTTACAAATAATACTATGGTTAAGTAGGTTTGTAGACATTTCTTGGCCACATATGCAACTCATATGTCTAAGGTCGTTTTCAAGTCCTTACCGTACATCAGAATAGTGTTGGAAGATTTCCTAAAACCACAGATGCTTTACTCTACCTGTAGAGAGCATATTTTAATTTTTGTATGACAGAGTTTAGACATCTTATTTTTTAAAGACCCCCAGGTGATTCTTTTCATAAAATGTGTTTAGTTATTTTAACACTTCAGTCTTCATAGCATCATATCAAAACAGGACTAAAATAATAAAAACAAAAAAGGTGAGAAAAGACAAGATCCAACACTGAGGGTTTTTTTATGTTAAACTTTAGCTATAGTGCTATAGGTAATTCTAAATTTGTGATATTAATTTCCTGTCAGACAACTGACAGGAAATGCTACAAGCAATACCTAAGATGCACCAAAGATGCAAAGCCTAACTTTAAGAGCCATTCTTTAAAATGACCTCTGAGATGGCAACAGTAAAATATACATTTTCATATTCATAAAACATTACGCAGATCTCAGATCAGGCTGAGAGCCCCTCCAGGGTCGTGGTCATCTAGGACTTAGCATAGAGTCTGGTGAATAGAAGATATCAAGTCTGTTGAAGGAATATATGAATTCCATTCTACTTTTACCAGTTGGCACTTACCTCGAACGCTATCCAATAAGGTTCCCTCAGTAGCATAAATATTTAATCCTTTATGTAAAGTTATCCTTACTAACCATTCTTCTACAGCTGCAATATCTAAAATAAAAAGGCAAAACTCAGCTATTTTTATGTTATGTTGGTAAGATTTAAGGATATATGAACATCACCAATAATGATAACTTTTCCTTTTCCAACCACTTTGACTGTCAAGTTTCCCACTTTTTCCTACAAACATTTTGCTGATAAAATAATAAAAAAGAATTATGCAGTGATCTTACCATCACAGCAATGAATCTATTACTAATATTTTTGATCATGATTTTTCTCCTAGAGTTGTTGTGTGTTGGTAAAAAGTAAATTATGACCATCTTGTGAAGTGGCATATTCCTTAAAAGAACCCATCAAAGAAAAGTCCAGGTCCTGACAGCTTCATGACTAAATTCTACCAAACATTTAAGGAAGAACCAATAGCAGCTCTTCTAAAAGAAATTCAAGAGGAGGAAATATTCAAAACTCATTCAAGAAGGCCAGTATTTCTCTGATATCAAAACCAGATAAGGATTCAACAAAAAGAGAAAAATTCAATCTAACATCCTTGATCAACATAAATGTAAAAATCCTTGACAAAATACTATACAACCTGGGGCTGGAGCTGGAGCTCAGTGGCAGACACTTGCCTATCATGTGTGAGGCACTGGATTTGATCCTTACTTAGCACCACATAAAAAACCAAACAAATAAAGGCATGCTGTCCATCTACAACTATAAATTTTTTTAAATACTAGAAAATCAAATCCAAAAGCACATTATAAAGACCATTCACCATACCAAGTGGTATTCATCCCAAAGATACAAGAATTATAGTTTAAAAGTAAGAAAACAAATTACCTATTTTAAAAATGGGCAAAGAAACTGAAAAAGACATTTATCAAAATACATACAAATGGAAAACTGGTATATGAAAAGATGACCAATCAGTATAATTATCAGAGAAATGCAAATCAAAAACAATGAGAAATTTCCTCACATCTGTTAAAATGGCCATTAACAAAAAGAAACAATATAACAAGTATTGTCAAGAATGTGAATGAATGGGAAACTTAAATATTGTCATGGGAATATAAATCTACTATGGAAAACAGTATGGAGGTTTACATTAAAAATAGAATACTATGTGATCCAGAAATCTCACTACTGGTTATGTGTCCAGAGGAAACAAAATCAATATATTGAAGAGACATCTACATTCCTATGTTTATTGCAGCACTATTCACAATAGCAAAGATAGAATCAACCTAACTGTCCATCTGTGAATGAATGAATAAAGATAATGTGACATATGTACACAATAGAAAACTCTTCAGCCATAACAAATATTGTCATTTGTGACAACATGCGTAATCCTGGAGAACATTATGTTAAGTGAAATAAACCAGGCACAGAAATGCATCTCACTCATGTGTGGAATCTAAAAGAGCTGATCTCTTAGAAGTACAGAATAGAATGGTGGTTACCAGAAACTTGGATGTTTAGAGGGTAAAGAAAGATGGGAAAATGTTGGTCAAAGACATGAAATGACACTTACCTAGGTGGGTTGGGACTCCAGAATAGGCAAATATATAAAGATAGAAAGTAGATAAGTGATTGCCTAAGGCTAAAGGGTTGAAAGGAGAGACTAGATAGTGGAGGGAGAATAATTGTGAATGTCTGCTAGTGGTTATAGAGTTTCTTTCTTGGATGATGAGAATGTTCTAAAATTGATTTTGGGGATGATTATACAACTCTGTGAACATACTCAAATTTATGGGTTGTATACTTTAAGTG